GGAAAAATTACAACAGTGTCGCAGGAAAACGAGTCCTACCTCCCTACCAAATTACGCCTTGCAAAATACGTAACACAAGAGAGATTTCAGATATAATTGCGGGGTCTCCTCGCACCGTCACTGAACCTTTAGGCATCCTCACTGAACTTTTAGCAACTGTCCCCTCCCTTTCAGACTCAAATGAGCTAATATACTTTTTTAATTACAAAAATGGCGCGAAAAATAAACAAAGTGGCGCATAAGATAGCAAAAGGAAACGTAAAAATTAAAACAGAAATAGAAACACAGGCAAGGACAGAACTGGGCAGAGCTGTAAGAGTTGTAAATCTAATTGCGTTTAGTAGCAAAAACAAAACAACAAACAACAAGTAACATCACATTAGGCAAAGTGAATATTAACAGTAAGCGCACTATTCTTCCAATTCCTCAAGGGGAACTTATTGACTAAGTCATAGACACCTTATATTTTTTTGACACCTTTTCTCATTTTTTGTCTTCATACACCATTCAGGTATGCAAAGCTTACCTAAATATAGGGTGACCCATATGAATGTAACAGGCAATAGAAAAATCAACTTACGGGCTCCTGGGCTGGAGGAAGCGGTGATTGCTTGGGTGGAAAGGAACGCGATGAACGTCAGCTGAGCCTTCCACAGGATTGGGCACCAGCCCACAGCACAAAGAAGGTGCTGCAATGATGTGGTTGGAATCCTTTGGATTTTGCTGTATAGTCGATTCTAAAGCAAAAAACCTGCACTTTCAAAAACAGGTCATAAGAACTTCTGAAAGAAAGTGCTCTTGTAGAAGCGTGGGATGAAAGTGATTGCGCGCATTCTTGAAAACTTCCGAAAGAGGTTGGATGCTTGCATTAAAGCGAAAGATGGTTATTCTGCATGCGAGATGTGATATGTTGTTCACAATTTTGTGATGATTGTGTAGGAGTAATAGTTTCCCATTTGGTTTGATCTGTATAATTTTGATGATATTTTTCTGCGTCACACTTCATGTGGGTCACCCTGTATGTAATTCGGGTTCTTCTCCCCGATTGCGGCATTCTCCCGTGCGGCACCCGGCCAATGTCACTGCAATTACCGTAATCACCCCGCCTCCCCGCCAATCGATTTCGTTGACTGCCTTTATTTTTACTGATTTGATCGTTTTTCTTCTGTTTCTTTTTCATTTTTATGTTTATTAGACTTGATTAATTAGATTGACTCCCCCTATATATCAGCGACGATCAACACCGCACTGGAATTGAAGAGAGCGGCCAGCTAATTCAAATAATTAAAGGACTCCCTACTCACAAATTGCGAGCCCCAATCTTCCATCGCAATCCTGCGAGTGCGCCGTGCGCGATGCCGTTTTCGGGGAGAAGTTTCCGGACCCCATGGAATTCAAAGCAGTTTATGACTTTTGCATTGTTGTCATCGTACTAGATTGTATCGCATATTGTACCAGTAGATCTTTATCACTGGCTCCAACACAACATCATATATAGGTGTGAGCGAAACAGCCTTAATTTTCTTAATAATTAAATAAAAAACTTAAAGTTCATAATTAAAAAATTCGGACAGTTTTTATGAATTAACATAACTGTCTGAATTTCTATACTTATCCAGACTTCCAGGAAAAATTTCGAATTGTCTTAATGAATTTGGTTTTAACTTAACCCACTGACGGCAGCGCGCGTTTTGGATTTTTTGGCCGCGTGGGCCATGTGCGTTTTGGCGGGCGCGGCCAGCTTGACGCGCCTGCGCGTCAAGATGTCCCACGAGGTACACTTTTTGGAAACGTCCCACGAGGTGCACTTTTTGGATGCCAAAGCTGAAAGGCAACATGAAAAGTGTATTATGTTAGTAAATGGGAAGAGTAGCCGGCAGGGGAGGGGGGTGCTCTGCTTGTCTGCTCTCTCTTAGCGTAATAGAAACAGCTTTTGAGCACTTGCAAAACAAAGACAGGAAATGGCTACCTAGAGGCCTAGAGGGCTGTAGAATGGGAGAACTAGGGGTAGTAAGACCTACAGCTTGTTATTAGTGAAACCTGGAATATGTGAATTTACACTGCCTCACTAAGAGAGTGCAGACAAGTCGTGCGCCACGTAGTCGCCTGGCCAATTTCAAATTCTCATAGTCAACGATAAGGAACATCTAAAAAGCAACACCAAAATGGCTGGAGTTGTAAACACTTGGAAGCTGTACAAAGATGTGGTGAAGAATATCAGGCTAAATGACTTCAAACTAGAGGTGGTCGAATCTCTGCTAAATGTTGATCATAGCTACACTTCAAGTCATCATTGTCACTCCATGTGACATGTGTTAGAGGAGGTATCTAAAGGTCTAAAAGGAATCAACAGGGTAAGTTGTGTAGAGTGTTACGCAGCGATGTCCAAAGTGCAAGGATCTGCTTTGGCATCGAAAAATACAAGAAGGGTCAACACACGTTGCAGTAGATTCAGGAAATTCTTTTACATTGTTTCTTTCACTATGAAACACAAGCCTTGGCGTAGAAACGTAATCTCTTGAAGTTATTGTGGTTGTTACTAATTATTATATTATAAATTAATTCTATGATTTATATGTATGTTCTGAAAAGGGAGTTAAAGTTTGGTTTAAAGTGAGACTTTTACAAGGTTTGGAAAATCTTTGCTGGAATAAACCATATTTGCTCCGATCATGGACCACGTTGTTTGTAGAATTCTTAATGTTCTGTCTATTGAATAAACACAAAACGCAAAAAGGAGTGGTGAAAAAACCTTGACGCGCATGCGCATCACTCGGTCCCTCGCGGTCTGCAAGGCTTGACGTGCATGCGCGTCAAGATCTAATCTAAGAGAATGTAGCTACTTGCGCTCTTTTGTGGTATGGAATAAGAGTGAACTGGACGAACCTATCAACCAGAGGGTGTTTAGTAAATTCTTAAGAACTGGCATCACTGGTGATACTGAACAATATTATCCCTTCTGTAAGGTTCTTTGACATCACAAGTAACCAGTATCCGCTTTGCTCCATATATCACATTTCACCTGTTCACGAGAATAGAACTTTTTACCAGTAATATTACAATTTTCCCATTTAAAAAACTAGTTTTCTGTGGGTGCTCATGTTAATCCGTGTTGTACAGTGCTGTATCGGAAACGCGGAGAAGGAGCACCGGGCTGATGAGATAATTAACTCATGCGAAAAGCTGAAAACTGGCCCACTCCGGTGCTCCATCCCTCCCAAGGCTATGTTAACCGCTTGACGACCATGGCACCCGCCGGTGGGTGCCACTAGGACTGGCGCATGGAGCAATGGCACCCAATGCTGGTGCCACCATGTTTCTTCCTTTATTTGCACACTTGAAACTTATTTAAATACTGTCATATTCATTAACAAACTCCATATTAATTATATTCAGCATGTTCTACCTGAATCTTTTATATGAGCTTATTTATTACAAATATATATAGTCAATGGAGTAGTACTGAAAAGGTTTAGATGCTTTGCAAGATTTGTGTGTCCTGGAAGCATTGGAGGCATTACTTAGAATACCTGATTCGCGATTATGTGACCGCGCGGTCGATTTATTCTTCCTCAAGTTCCTTGGATGTTATACGAATTCCTACTGCTTACATTATTACCAAAATTCTAACCTACATTCCTTCCAAACCCGGATTGCAAATCTAAGCCTCAGTTTAATATACGATAAAATAAGGTCTTATGCTTATGTTATGTGGAAATATCGCTATGTTTATTAAGCCAGAGATAGGAGTTCTTCCTGACCCCTTCAGTGGGTGCCAGTCGCGCACGAAGGGATGTGGGCGTTGCCCATGGGCGCGTCACGTCGAAATCAGCATTGTCGTCGAAGGGTTAAAAAATTGTGCATGTCCTTGGCGTAACACTTCTTACATTTTTGCTCTATTCCATGCTCACCGTCACTGTTTTAGGTGGATTCCTTACCCCTTCCAAGGTCGCTACCATAGCAGGCTTTTAAAGACTTTTCCTAAGTTAGTGTTTCGGAGGCAACGTCATGTTGTTGAGGAAGGTTTCAATTGCTCTCTGACTATTAGGAGTTCTGTGCTCCATCATCACCGCTCTGACACAAAACAACGAAAAAATGGCATTTGAAAGTATACCCCCATTGGAATCATTTACTGAGGTACTCTCTTTTAAGTGACGGTGCATCTCCCCAACTCCCACCTCAAGGGGCCGTGGTTCCACGGCGGCTTCCGTATCATTCCACTGGAAATTCAACCTTCCCTTCATAGCACGCGACACCTCGTGATCGGGCGCAGCAAGCGCGACGCGATTTTTTAATAAAAGTAACTACACCTTTCTCCCTTCCCCTTTGTTCATAATATAATCTTTAGGATTGTGACTTGAAAGCTCTAGGCCTTTGTACCAAAACATGGGTGTTTTGCTTTGTTTTTTTGTTACCACTTCATGAGCAGTTTCATGAAAATCATACTATAGTAAATGAAACTTGCAAAGCTTTAATCGATTGATATTGCCAAAAATTGAAACCTAACGGGCACACGAGAGCGTGTTGATGGTTTAGCATGAGTTATCGATCAGGAATACGCCTTCTGCTTTGCTAGTCGATCAGCAAAAAGTGTGAAGTAGGGCATGCTTCTAATCGAAAGGGAACAAAGACATGAATGTTACTCATTCACCCTCCCTAAAGCTTATGCTTGGTACCCTTTCCTTTAATATGTTCTAGGGTGTTAAGCCGGAAAGCAATGAAATTCCTACACGTGATAGTGATAAATTGCAATGGTAATCTTCAGATACTNTGTTCCTTTTTTTTTCGTTTTTCCGTTTTCCTTTCTATTTCATTTTAATAGGATATGATACATTACTCTATTCTATTGTAACTCTGACGATAGTCTGAACCATACCGTTTGTATGTCACTTCAACAATAGATCAATAAATAAATAAATAATATGTTCTAGGGTGTTAAGCCGGAAAGCAATGAAATTCCTACACGTGATAGTGATAAATTGCAATGGTAATCTTCAGATACTGATGGTATCGATTCCGCTAGTCAGAGGAATGTTGCTGCCGAGCAGAAGAAGTTACTCACCGCCTTACATAGACATATCCATCGAAACTACAAGGGGTCACTTGCAGATGAACGATATGCCAACATTCTCTTAAGAATTCCAACAATTCGGGTAGGTTGCATTTTGTCTTTCTACCGCTTAAATTCGACAATGTTTGCAGTCTTCGATGTTTGAGTTTTTTTTTAGAAAGTTGCAGCGAAGAAGAACGAATCATTACAAATGATAGACATGCTAAACCTATTTGCACTCAATTCTCTGGTCAAAGAAACAGCGCTGGGTGTACGAACATCAACGTCGAGCACCCCTGCTCTTGGTTCCACCATAAATGGCGACTATCCTTCGGAGTAAGGATTTCCAGAAATGTTATTACGCACGCGCTTTCGTCATCATGCATAAGTAATCCTTTTCCCCAAGTACCGCTGCTTTCTTCACAGCCAACACTATTCGTTTTCCTTAAGTCAAGCACCGCAGACATTTTCACATAGTTGATTTCCGTTTTGCGTGTTTTGATCATTTTATGCATCGATTCACCCTGGTACTCGATTCATTCTTGATTTTTGGTATATATAATATATATGAATATAGATAGTTTTTACTATTTCGATACATTCCCAAATACTAGAATATCATAAAAAAAATCTGCCGAAATGGGGCAAAATGTAATAATTTCCACCACCATCGACTGCCTTGAATGCTGCTCGGCGACTTTCTTCAGTCCAAGTGAGTAGCGACCTCATGCGGCATTCTTGTGGAAACTTCCACATCACTCCAGAAAAAATCTGAGAACTCATGCGTAGATTTCTGCAGATATTTTCCAAACTCCCCAATAATGGATGAGGAAGTTTTCGCCAATAGCTTTTACATCAGCCCGAAACAAAGACCATACAGAATTCCCTTCTGGTATCATAATCCTGCCCTGCAAGTACAGTATCTTGGAATATACGATTCCGACGAGTCACCATGCGATCAAGTAGCCTATGAGTAACCTAATTGAAGCTACGGCTGCACACGAGCTGTTTTCCTGGAGTAGAATCAAGTTCACATAGCTCTGGCATGGTCCACGTTTTGCATCCATAGTACTGAGGCTGACCACGTCCCTGCCGCTTGGGAAGTTAATGCCGCCGTTGAGCGATATTCCGCATTTCTATGACTATGCACAGGACACAGCATCATTTTATGCATCTAAAACGTCACTTTAGCTACTTCTTCTGAATACTGACTGTTTATGGGCGGAGGTGTAGTGGCAAGTGGTACACACCTACACATGGCCACGGGTTTGAATTTTGGGTCGATAGCCGATTGGGAACATAGAGCCATTCATCCCTAAGAGGTTGGTCAAAGGCACAGTTCACGATAATTTTGGGTAATCCGGATTATGATGAAAAATAGAAGACAAGATTGAGAATAGTGCGATGAAGGTGAAGAAACTGCGTGAATCGATGTGTCCAAAGTGAAAAAAGGCTTCGAAAAACCATTAAAAGGGGGCTGGACGAGCGTGAGACCAGAGAATTGAAGAAGTATAGGCCATTTGGACGAGGTATACAATGTGTGTCAGTGCGTTCTTGTGGGTCCTGGTGCGAATCGCTGACTGCAGTATGCAAAAATTCATTCACTCATAAGCGTAGATTAATGAAAAAAGCCTTGTAACATCAAAAATAACCCACCTTTCTCGGCCTCTTGGAGTAAATTAAATTAGGGACCGCAACAGCAAAAAGAATAACAGAGAAGAATGGGAAGAAAACATCGTCCCATTGCTCGGCGATCAACCGATTGTGTGCGTGTCGTAGGGCGAAAATTTGCAATCTGATCGCCGCGACACTNCAAAAATTCATTCACTCATAAGCGTAGATTAATGAAAAAAGCCTTGTAACATCAAAATAACCCACCTTTCTCGGCCTCTTGAAGTAAATTAAATTAGGGACCGCAACAGCAAAAAGAATAACAGAGAAGAAAACATCGTCCCATTACTCGGCGATCAACCGATTGTGTGTGTGTCGTAGGGCGAAAATTTGCAATCTGATCGCCGCGACACTCGTCTGACGTGACATCGGTCGAGGGGCAAGAAGGCCGCGTGAGCCGAGAACAGGGCTTCCACTATGGCCTAACCGTCGAGTTTCTGGGCGCGAGAGGATCCTCTCTATATCCTTGGGGGTCAGTGTTCCTAACAACAAGGGAAGAATCATTAACCATTTTTATCGTGAACCGTGCCTTTGATTGGTGCCGAACTTGTCTTTAAGGACAGAAGCACTAATTTCTACATTGGGTTACATTGCAATTCATGGTTAGGCCACATACGGATTTATTACGCCGTGAAGTTTCTGAATAGAGTTCGAAGGCTGAGACGAATACCTTAGATGGGATGAATCAAGACTTTATCCTCCATCTTCCTTTAACTCATAGCTTCTACATGGACTGTTTAGTAGTTTTTGCTTTGTGCACATTTTCTGTTCGTTTCGAACGCTTAAGAATGGGTATAATGCAGCATGTGTCGTTGACTTGCGGGACGTCGCTCATTGGCCGGTGCCAACGCCATCGGTACGTTGAATGCAATCACTGGTTGAAGTCCCAGCAGAATCCATGTTCCCATATGAAAGTTTGCTCAAAATGCAGCTCTGAAATTCAGCGCGGCCATTCGCCTTTCAAAACGGTCAGATTCTTGAAAGGCATTTTTTAAAGCAATTCGGTTCCCTCAAATATTCTCTTAGAAAATTGTAGGTCTAGTCACTCCAAACCCTGAGAATGTTGTTTCAAGTGAGAAGCGACCTGTTCGTCCTTGACGTTTCTTTTATGTCAATAAAAATAATTTTAACCGTACCCTATAGTCACAATTGAGTTGCGGGCGATTTGTAACTACGTCGGACGGATGAGTGGGCTGACTCATTTGTAAAAAAGGAGTTGAGCTGTCTCTGTCTATGTGCACACTGTCGTTTTTTGTATGGTGTGATTTATAGAATGTTCCAGTGGTATAGTTTACTGTAATATCAATCGAATAGAAGTCATATTATGTTCATATTATTAATACTTTTAAAAATGTGATGTAAACCATCTGTTTTAAGTAGTAGCACTTAATTCCGTTGTAGGATGCTAGATCATTTTGATATCGTGGGTTTTACTCTCGCCATTTGCTCAGCGAAAGCGTTAGTTCCATATAATGGATAGAAACACTTCCTATGTGTATCGATGTGATCATCACGCGAGACTCCTTCTGAGGGTTAGTATGCTTCCTTTTCCGGGTCTCATATAAACCAATATACTCTTTACATGACTCGTAAATGGATTGATGTTCTCAACGTTGTTCGTGAAAGTGTAATGTATCAAACAGATTTGGTGATTCAGGAGTTGTACTTATGGGTCCATAAATGTTTGTTTTGTGGTGTCGAAGAATTTCCTTGATGGAGTTGCCGTTTCTTTATATGTACTAGTTACAGATGTTCTTAGTGCATAAATTTATCGTTTGGATAATCGTTCGCGATTTCGACCTAACTATTTTATTTGCTTTATTTTCAACCATATTAACATTGTTATACTACCCTTCAAGTGACCATTGCCTAATAAGTTTTCAAAGTGTTCGCCGTAAATGTGGAGTGAAGAATTTCCTTCATGCAACAGAGCAGAGCAACTGTGTGAGTGACGATCTTTTGGATGGCAGGGAAAGAAAAAGGGCTTGCACGGTGCTGTTTGATTATCTCATCTTGTTGAGTCCAACTTGTTGTGATACTCTTATGGCTGCTTTCAAACATCAACGATTCAGCCGACGCTTTTCCGTCCGTCTGTGGCGTGCGTGCGAGCGCAGCAGCGCTAGACAGGTGTTGACAACATTGGACACAGATGGATCACGTGCCAATGCTGTCAACAAGTGACTAGCGCCTCCTTCGCTCGCACGCACACGACGGACGGATGGGGTCCGGGAACTTCTCCCCTAACACGGCGTCACACACGCCGCACCAGCCGCCTATCGCAGGATTGCGATGGAAGATTGGAGCGCGCAATTCGTGAGGTAGGGAGTCCTTTAATTATTTNAATTGGCTGGCCGCTCTTTTCAATTCCAATGCGGTCTTGATCGTCGTTTATATAGGAGGAGTCATTTTAATTAATCAAGTCTAATAAACATGAAAACTAAAAAGAAACAGAAGAAAAAACGATAAAATCCAATGAAAAAGCAAGCCAGTCAAGGAAAAATATCGCGTCCTATCGATTGACGGGAGGCGGGGTGCGTACGGTAATTGCAGTGACATTTGCCGTATGCCGCAAGGGAGAATGCCGCGATAGGGAAGAAGTTCCGTTGCCCGGACGGATGCAATGGGCAGAAGCAAAAGACGGACGCACGGACGTCGGTTGAATCGTTGAAGTCTGAAAGCAGCCTATGTCAATTACTATTGTTTGCAGCCATGACTGCACATTCAAAATGGCATTGAGTTGCGAACAAGATCAACGTTCTTTCTAAAGTACCATGCCTGCAGGTATGTGGCATTGATACCGCTGCACAAAATAATGTACGTATTTCCAAAATTGTTGCTCCAGTTAGCGGTGTTAGCTTGAACATAGTAGTGTCTGGTTCAGGTAGTATTGGTCTCAGCCGCCATTCTTTGTGCGTTGCTTTTGAAATATTGTTTGCAAGGCTTGGCAGCCAAGCAAGGAAGGATGATCAGATCATCGTCTGATTAGAGGAAGGTAACTGCCGTTTCCTAGGCAGCATCACCAAGCGATGTGTTTGATAAGAGATAGCAACAATCACATAGTTTGGTCTTATCGCATCTTCCAACAACTTCCGATTCCCCAATGATCGTAATGTAGTATTTCTGTAATGTGATCTCTCCCTAATGAGGTAAAATTCGCGTGTTGCATTTCACTGTGCTAGCCTGATTTTTCACTTTTCAACATTCCTTGACAACTTATATTCGTGGTCTTATACAATATCGTAAATCGATCGGGCAAAGATTGACCTAGTGATAGCTTCCTGTCTAAGTTCTATGTTTTAGCACAAGGACTTTTAGTGATTTTGCGGGTCCAGCTGTCGATATTACTTCCTCGTTCACTTCTAATGCCCCTTTGTATTTATGGTCTTGCTCGACAAGGAGAACTTTCCAGTCTCTGGATAGGTTCCTAGTAGATGTCTTGCTTGTCTGAAATGAATTCTTCGGTATTCTCAAAATCACTCCACGTACTCCGTTTCCGACATTACCAAAATTTGCTGACGATTTCTGAGGAAGTTAGCATTTCCATCTCTTTTTTTTTGGACTGAAAATATTGTGGATTAGGGATCGAAGCCTTCAGTCAGGGGGTTCCTGTTGTGCGAGTGTAACTTGAAGAAACAATGAACTTGAACGGATTATAGATAAACCATCCACACCTGGTTTTTTCATTACTCCTGTATGAATCTAGTTCTTAATGTCTCTCAATGTCCTCCACACCACTCGCTCGTCTGGTTCGCTAAGCATTGGACTGTTCACTCCTTAACAGACTCAGCTGGGCTAATGTCGACTGTTAAAATTACAAACTTCATTACAATAGTCAGTAGTCGTGTCAGTCAGTCAATACATTTTAAAATCGTGTCAGTATGAACTATGCCCAAAATGTAAACAATCTTTTCAGTACGGAAGTCAGTGTGAGCACAACAGGAACGAAAATTCAGTCCGGCACTCGGTTCTTACAGTAATCCGGCACGTGTTAATACGCATATTTTTACCCGTCACATATACGACGCGTCGAAAAGGGGCTTTGGGCAAGCCAGGGGGTTACTGTAAGAGCCGAGTGCCGGACTGAATCTTCATTTTAGTGTGAGCACATGCTTGTGTAGGGGGAGAGGGGTAGGAAAACAGGCTTGCCTCACAAGGGGAAACAAAGCGGAATGTTTAAGGGTGGAGAGGAAAGGAATAGGTTTATAGGGTGAGGGATAAGCAAGTGGAAAGCTGTTTGGGGTTGACACCGGTAAAGGCGTTTTAGTCGAATTCGTAGAGTTTCACATATGGCATTACGGCCTATCCGTTGACGAACGTTAAGCAAAGGTCGTCTTCATCTTCTTGTATGGTTTGGTGCAGGCCAGCTGCAGACGAAGTGCGCTCCACATCGTAGTGAATCTTTTGCTAATCCTTTCTTACTTTGGATTTCACAACTTTGAATGAATAGCTGAAGCTAACGTCCGACTTCCGAACCTGTTGCCGACTTCATAATGGTGTTTGATGTCAAAACAAGGCAATAATCAATGTAAATCTGTAAAAGGCCGTCTCACGTTGACTAGTTCGGCTACAGGCCAATTGCGGGCGAAGTGCTGCCCGCATCATAATGATTTTTTGTTACTAACGTTACTTTTTTGGAAGATAGAGTTGGAAGCGTTTTATATGGTTTTTTAGAGGCATAAGAGTAGACCCTACTTTCTTCAAGGTCATCGTCGCTGATTTCAGCGCCATGATTGACCCCAGATGAACGGCTGAAGAGCTTCACATCGGAACTCACAGAATGGGATGGAATGAGCAGGGTGAAGACTGACCGAGTATATCATGTCGACCCATACCATCTATGGTAACTACGAATTCCAGAAGCCCTCTCATTTGCAATGGACATGAGAGTCACCAGGTGGACAGTTCCATAATGAAATAGACCACATCATCTTCAGTCGGAGGTTTTGCCTGACTGACTTGACTGTTGTTCCGAAGTTCCACACGAGATGAACCATCGTCTCCTCCGCGCTAGATTCTGCNCCTCATTGCGTGGAGAGAGTGTTATGAAGTTTAGGAAACGAAGCCCCAAGACTGTAGTCAGTTGGGATCACTTCGCTTCACCTGCGAGTTTGTGGGAAGATTCCGTCAGCGACAACATCGATGAAGAATACAACCCTTTCGTCGAACATCTTCACGATTGCGCCAGGGAGCTAAGAGTCTCAAAGATGTCAAGAAACGTCCCTCTTCGAAGGCTCTTGAGCTGACACGCCAGCGTGGAAACACGCAAGCTGCAGGCAATAAGCAGCTAAAGTTCGAACTTGCGAAGCTATGCAAGAAGCGATAAAATAAGATCTGAAAGAGAGTAGAGCAGCAGTTTTGACAGAAGCCGCCGAGGTCGGAATGAGCATTCGCAAAGCCTGATGGAGTTTTGCCAATTACGTGACCAGAATGACTTCGCCACTCTGGCCAAACAGTTACTGCATCTCGGAGGGCAATAAAGAAGGCCATCTGCGGCTTCTACTTGGATATCTTTGACAGCCACATCTAGCTGCCTACTCACCATCCCAGGCAAGAATAACATGTCGCTCCATCGGTTGTCCCTTCCGAAATTCGATATGACATCGCATCGATGGATGAATCGTAATCGTCCTGACTGTGCTGCGCTCGGTCCCGATAGGACCGAATCAGAATATCTTAAGAGTGTTTCACCTCTTATCGTAAGAACTTTGGTTAGGCTGTTCACGCGGTACCTCGGAATGCAAAGTGCCCACTCGTGGGAAACTAGCAAGACTATGTTGCTGTTCAAGAAGGTAGATCCCGACGATATTGGCAACTATCGCCTCATCTGCCTGCTGTCTGTGTTCTGCAAGCTTTTCACGCGTCATCCTAAACAGGATTGACAAAATAGCAGATGAAGGACGGTACATGCGAACAAGCACTGTTGCAGGCAGAGTTCGGTACAATCGATTATATCCACACTCTTACAAGACTCACAAGACTACTAGAAGTATCGCAAGAGTACAAGATGCCGTTAAATCTTACGCTCATCGATTTGAAGAATGCATTTGATACCGGCGAGACAGGTAATCGAAACCCTGGGCAACCATGTTGTTCCTACTCAATACAGTAGTTGCTCCGTGAGCTTTAGGACAGCTTCACGACCAGGATTTCGTCACACTATAGAGGACTCATCATAAACGTGATGAGGGTGTTTCGATAGGGCGATCTCGCGCGAAGTATTCAGTACCGCTCTCGAGAACATCACGCATCATATGAAATGGGAGGTATGGAAAGGAAGTTGGGCGGCCGCTAGTTACATCATCTCCGCTTTGCAGACAACATCGTGCGTTTAACACCGAACATCGAGCAGGCGGAACGAATGCTGGCCGAGTTTGACAGTGCTTGCGGAATGATCGACTTACATCTGAACTTAACGAAGACGATGTTTATGAGAAACGGAATGGTTCCTGTTGCTCCTTTCACGTTATCTCTGGATGTTCTACTTACGTGTATCTCGGCCGGAAAGTCAACATGATGACGATTTAGCTCCGGAGCTGAGCAGAAAACACGCCGCATTTGAGAAGCATGTGAGAAGTTCGAGAGAGTTGTGAAGACAAAGAAAATTTGGCTACGCGCTTTTTCGATACTGCGAAACTTTTTGCTTCGACGCACCAGTCAAAGACTTTGACTCTACGAAAGCATAATGATAATGATGTCAGCGTTACTCAACGCGCTTTGGAAGATGCTCGGAATTTCCCTTTACACGCAAGGGCTGAAGGGGATCAGGAGTTCCAAGCTCCGTGATGGAACGAAGATCAGGGATGCCGTTGATTACGCCAAGAAATCGAAAATCAGATGGGCCGGACACGTTATGCAATATAGTGAGGACCGTTGGACCAGAGAGGTTACTGACTGGATCCCTCAGAACGTCAAGCGAACGCCAGGACGGCCGCCAACGAGATGGTCCGACTTCTTCTCGAAAGCTCTGAGCGAAAGGAATGTTGAACCTCGTGTCCCAAAGGCCCGCTATGGCTCGTGACAGGGCGAATGGAGACTTTACTGGCGCCCGCTCGGAAAATCGACAAACAACGAGACAAGTGATAGAGGTGAACGTTACTTTTCTACTTTCAATTTCACTCCTTGCAGAGTTGCACATTTTACGTTTAAATGAAGTTTTTCCCTTTTATTTTAATATGTAATGAAGCTCCTATCCATGAATCGATACTAACCAATCTGAATCAGGCCTAGAAATCAGCAGTCAACCAGTTAAATGCCGAGTTCACGATAAAATGGTTTTCGAATCTCCCCCCCCCCCCCCGAATCTCCTCCCCCCTCTTCCTTGGAATAACAAGGGTAACAAAAAGAACGCTGTCGGGTCCAAAAACTCAACAGCCGGGGCATAGTGAGAGCCCCAACTCTGCCTAGGCCGCTGCGATGAATATTGCATCTGTATTCAAGAAGGATGATACTTTCTTTCTCTACTCTTTCCACGGATCATTCCAATGGAAAGAAATGGTCCGTGGAAAGAGACCGGTGCGTTGCCTAACTTACGAACAGAAACGTCAATTCAGTACGGCACTCGGCTCTTACACGTGTTAAAACGCAAATTTTTGCCCGTCACATATGCGACGCGTCGAAAAGCGGCCTTGGGCAAGAACACGAGCATGGGTGGTGGGTAGGCCATGGGGTTACTGTAGGAGCCGAGTGCCCGTACTGAGTCTTCGTCCTTTCCTATAAGGTTCCTCCACTAGATGATTAGTCGCTGAACCAGAAGGATGATTAGTCGCTTTCCACATATCATTCTATCAGAATGGAATGGTCTTAAAAAGCGACTGATCATCTTTCTGGAAGATCGAAATTCAATCATAGGCGTAATCGTTATTCAAAGTCGCAAACCTGTTGCACTGCTCTGTTTATGCTACTTGATTGGTTTCAGATCCACGTTATCCTACTTATATAATCGGCTAAGTGTGTCTGTTGGTGTGTTTGTGTGTATGTATGTGTGTGTGTCTAACCGGGAATTCATAACTCGTGTCCCC